TGGAAAGGTCTGCACAAAGCGGTTTCGATCATGGTTTGACGTAGGGCAGTTTAAGAGATTTGTCTGATGTCACCGGATTGTAACGGCCTTGTAACATCTTAATCTGTACCTACATCCATGTACGTTTAGCGGGCTCTATAACATTCCCCAGAAAACCATTCCCCAGAATGAACCATTCCCCAGAAAAGCATTCCCCAGAATGAACCATTCCCCAGAAAACCATTCCCCAGAATGTACCATTCCCCAGAATGTACCATTCCTCAGAAAAGTATGCCATGTATTAGATTGACTATTTTTGTTTATTATAGTCACTCCTGGAATCTTCTTTCGCGTATATAGCAAGAATAGAAAAAAAACTTCTTAATGGATCAAGGTGTTTTCCTTTCTTTGAAAATATAAGAAAAGGAAATAATTAATTCTTTGGATATACGATAAAGAAGGGAATATTCCCTTCTTTTTATATATGAAAGAGAACATAATTAATTCGTTAAATATATGATACAGAAGGGAATATTCTGTTCTTTGAAAATTTAAGAAAAGGAAATCATTAATTCTTTGGATATACGGTGAAGAATGGAATATTCCCTACTTTAAATATGTAAAAAATACGAAAAAGAAGGGAATGTTCCCTTCTTTGAAAATATAACAAAAAGAAAAAAATAATTATTTTTATATACGATAGAGAAGGGAATATTCCCTTCTTTGAATATATAGAAGAGAACATCATTAATTCTTTAACTATATGATAAAGAAGGGAATATTCCATTCTTCAAAAATATAAGAAAAGGAAATAATTAATTCTTTAGATAAATGATAAGGAAGGGAATATTCCCTTCTTTGAATATATAAGAGAGAAAATAATTAATTCATTGGATGTATGATAAATCTTCTTTTATTTATAAGGAAAATATATAATCAATAGCTTTTCGCAAGGGATTCGGGGTAATGACCATTTGGGATAATAACGAGTGGAATAATGGTATAAATTTGTAATCGGACATACTAATAAGACATACTTCAAGTCCCCGCGTACATCGTACGGGTTAGGCAAAAATGTGCGTCGATCTTAAAACTGTCGCATTAATGGCCCTTCGCTCATTTTCAACTTCTATTCAATTTTCATACTGCCGTACTCTAACGGAACTATCCACCTACCCTCTTCTAAAAATCATTCTCTAGCTAATAAATCATCACACTAAAGGTTCATGTTAGCATTTCCAACCAACTCTGAAAATCGTTAACTTCGCGTATGAAGTAACATAAAAACACTTTGAATGTAATCGGTAGTTCAACGTTCCATGCACCGATTTTTTAATCCATAACGAGAAATTCTTCAACTCAGGTCGAACAATCCTTCGATAAGGTTTAACAGTTTCCGACTGGTTGAATTGGATTGCATAATAGACCCTTTGACTTATTAAATGATGAACGAAATGCTCGAAAACTTGAAGGTTGTCATTTTATAAAGAGCAAAAAAATTGTTTGGAATTGATAAATACATAGCTCCATAAAAGTAAACATAGTGTATTATCAATAGTAAAAAAAAAAGAAAAGTGAAAATTACTCATTTCATAATCTTTTCTGGGGAATGGTACATTCTGGGGAATGTTTTTCTGGAGAATGGTGCATCCTGGGGAATGGTTTTCTGGGGAATGTTATAGAACCCGATTAGCGTATTATGTTTATGTTATGAAGAACTTTGAGTGTGTTGATTTATTTCCTTTTAAATCCGTTATATATGGATACACATCGTTGATCATCCAATGATTTTTGTGATTTTTGAGAACTTCTAGCGATTGGATCTGCTTATAACTTTTCAGAAATGAAGTTTAATGATTATTAGAACTATTTGATTATTTTGGTGCCCCAATAATTGTTGAAATGCTAAATAATGTTTCGAAAGTGACCAATTTCCCATACATTTTTGTATGACGTCCTTATATTTATTTCCTAAGGAGAAAATCACATTTCCATTTATTTCTCCTACGTAAGGTTTTTGATCTAATTTCCATCCTACTAAGCACAACCCGCACTTTACCTCTCTTTTCCAAACGAGTTTAAACAAAAAATGGAATATTTCTATCGAAAATGACTTCTTAATTTATTCACCTTTCCATACCTACCGTTGGATTTGATAAAGAGTCACAAATTGTTGAGATATTGTTTAAAATCTAATACTGCTTATTGATTCTAAATTCGTTCTACGAGTTTCAATTCCGTTCAATAAACTAAATATTTTAATGTAACCAAAGACCAGGAATTCAATCTAGCGGGATAAAATTAATAACTCCGAAACGAAGCATTTCCATTACTTGGTGTCTTTGGCAAAGTTTCTCATTGTAATAAGGACTATCTATTAACATGAACAGCTAGTTCAAAACTCATCCACGTAGATTGCGCCAGGACAAACTGGAGACTTGGTATCTTGGAGTTGTTTATATCTATAAAATAAAATAAAAACTCTTCTGACCACGTCGAAATTCCACAACGTAGTGGTTTATTTATATTTTAAGAGATGCTTAACGACATATATAAGACTTAAAGCGGTAATTTTATACGATAGATGAGCAGATGAATGTATAGGGTTGATAGTTCCGTTAGAGAACGGCAGTGTGAAAATTGTATATAGAGAGTAGAAAGCGAGCAAAGGTCAATTTTATTTATTTAGCATCTCCAACTATGTAAATCGTTAACTTCTACACGCATGGCTTTATAGAAGAAAAGGTATTATTTGTCTAAATGCTAAGACTGCGTTCCGGAAGTAAGCGTGGGTTTACGGTACGCATCTTACTTTTGGACACAAGTCAGAATATTTTCATTTTGAGTATTTATATCATTAGAATAAAAAAAATTAAGAATAACTTCTTAGCTTACAGAATTATTGTGAAAAAATACCGTATCGTTCGGTAAATTTATTTGTTTTTTAACACAGTATATCTGTGAAAACTTACAGAATTATTTTCACTGTAAAACATCGTCACTAAAACACTACTGCCATCTGTTGCGCACACTGTCATGGGCAGTACGCTCAGAAGATGGCGGAAGTGTGTAATCGTCAAACGCAAGGGAATTGACTGTGCGCGCCACAGGCGGCAGTACTACCAACTAAAAACAATTTAAATTGACCGTTAAATACGTGCTCAATGAAAAACATACAAGTATGTCTGTTTGTCTATTGTTCAGTTGTTGAAATTTCGGTAAAATTTCACCGAAATCTGAGAAATATTCCAAGTGTGTAGAGTTAAAATAAGTAATTAATGAATGTTCCCTAACTGAAATGTTTTGTATCAAATTGTAATTTAAACTGAAAGTTAATACTTGTTGTGAACGATTAAGTCACAGACAAACAGACATAACACTCACAATCACATTCATCGCAAATAATGCTTTAGTTGAGAATGTGCTTGCATTTGTCATGGTGCATTGAGCAAGCCACAAAATTGCCAGTTATGCCAGTTATTTTTCACATCTAGGTAGTAGATGTCAGCTCTTGAAAATGATAAGTGGTCAAGGCATCCCACTGGAGACACATACCACATCTGACGAATACAGAAAAAAAAGTTGTTGAATATTACATCGAAAGTGCTGCACATTAGTCATTCCGTTCCTTATATTACGCTGTACAATTAACACAGAATTCGAGAACAAATCATGTTGCTGACTGTAATATTCTATCAACTTTTACCACCTTTTACCAGTTATTGATGTTCAATACTTCACCATCAATTTCATTGATTGATACATATTATATGTTTTTGCTGTACACACATTAAAGTGATGAGCAGTGGTAGAAATGGCACTAATTAGTGATGCATTACCTCGTTTAAAAACTTGTTTCCAACAAAAGAAAAAGCTCACTAAACCGAGGGGAACGACTCTATCTACGATGCAAAAAAGATTGTGTTTTGCTGTGGCTAGCTGCGCGCACGCTGAGCAGATAGAAAGAAGATTGATGAAGATTCTGAAGATTTCATGCAAAAAGATGATGAGCGATGCAAGTAGATGCGTATTTCTGCAGAATTTAATCAATTGACGAATCTACGTTACGGTCGACCAGCAGATGGAATTGATTAGAAAATGAAAATGACGTTTTGCTACCTGTCAAATCGTATGGAACATTTTTTAGTACATCATCACTTTTGTGGTTTTGGATTTCAAACATAGGTGTCGCATGCACTGGTGCAGTTTCGCGTAGATTCATCAATCCTATAGACCTACGGAAAATTTAGTAGAACCGACATCACTGACTTCCATCTGTTTTGTTTTTATTGAACACATCTGACGCGTTGCAACTGGTGAAAAAATGGCATGAACGAGGGATGCTCTAGTTGCACATCAATGCTTGGGAGTGTGGATGATAGATGGTGCTAGTGCGCATGCAAAATACGCTTGACGATATTTTTTGAAGAATTTTCTCCTAATAGTTATGTCTGTTTGTCTGTGTCTGTGTCTGTCTGTGTCTGTGTCTGTGTCTTATCATTATCCAAACGTTAATCAATCTCGACACACTTTTCATAAGGTCAAATGCACAGATATGAAGCTACTAATCAATCGAACCAAACACCAAACGTCGCTTACGTACGACCAGTCAGTAATGTTGATATATGTATCATGCTCTCTAACTGTTCAAAACAAATCGTCCACCACACACTGTCGGTAATGGCGTTGGCTTATCAGTTCAACCCCGGCCCACATATTTGTTCGAGGCCACAAATAACGTTGCCTTTGCAGATTAGCCGTAGTCAGAATTGTTTACGACTCACTTCAAATCTAGTGCGCACGTAAAATGGCAAACAGTTTTTGTATGCGTCTTTAAAACGCAAGATGCTATTAACACTCATGCAAAACGCCCCCTATTAACCGACCGATCGTCATCTCTCTGGAGATGCAGTGCCTCCGTGCCGCTTTGTTCGAAGGTCTTTACTCCCTTTTGCAAAAACTGGTTGCTGTTGTCCATCCAAGTTCAATGCTTTTGCTGGTATAGATAAGTTGGTACTTACTATATGAGTGAGTCTGCAATGAAGTCCCGAGACTTGCAACGAATCCAGAATGCAGATCACACCGATTAATGAGTTCCTAGTCTTTTTATAGGTATTCCTTTTTGTCTTCCTGGTTCAGCAGCACCAGGCAGAGTAGCCAGTATAAGAAGATTACGCGCCCGCACTCGATAGAGAGGAAAAGAAATCGAAACTCTTTATCAACGTTCTGCTTCAACGTTCAAGACGAAACTGTGCTCCCACGGAACACTAAATAGACTTGAATCTTGTTTACCTTTTTCCAGTTCTACATACATTCAACATCAGTCATCCGTTTGTCCGCTGCTGGCGGTCTTCCCGAGACTTACAAGCCCATGAGCCATGATTGAGAGAGAACCCAAGTGTTCATTATTACATAGTGGGTTATCATTTTATTCTACGACTCGACCTACTACCACAGACAAACAGACGTAAATCTTGCATACGTTTCATTAAATAAGAAATTAACGGTCAATTCGACAGTGAGCATGCATAAGGGCTTAACTTCGATGATCGATTCTCTTCGTCGATTTTCTCTTTTGTTAATTACTCACTTGGATTAACATTTCTCGGTGCGTTTTTTTCTTTGATAACCAATACAACCTGTTACAGCACTGTATTGAACAAATTTCAGAAAATTGCTTCCCTTAGCTGTTGCAATTTAAAGAAAAATCGGTGAAGAGAATCGATCATCGCAGTTCGGCCCTTATGCATGCTCACTGTCGAATTTAAAGTTGTCTTGGTTGGTGGCATTGTGGCACTCATAGTCTAATGGCTTAGTGTTTGACGTTTAAACACTAGCGCCATATGTTGGTAGTGCACTCAACAGATGGCGATATTGTTTTAGTGACGGTGTTTTTCAGTGATAAATATTCCATGTCCGTTTGTCTGTGGTACTACTACATGCAGTGTCAAGCTATAGCTCCTCTTACAACCAACTCTCACCAAACGACGAGAACCGGAGAGTATATTCTAACGTGTGTACTTGTTGGACAAAGGGAGTGCTAGACGAGAACGTGTGATCCGTTCTACCCCAATTGACACCCTTCTCCCGCTTATGTAGTTGTAGCGGTCTAGTGGAGGACCGTGAATTTATGCTGAAAGCTGCTCTATAGGGGTGTTCATAGCCGATGTTGATTTTGGTGGTGATGATGAATTTAGAAAAATTCGACCACATCACATCAAGTGATATATTGACATCCAATAATTTCGTAAGCACTTAGGGGGGAGGATATTATATTTTTTCTAACGTCTTCTTACGTGGAAGGGTAGGGGCCTCAGAAATATTTAACGTAAGCTTGAACATGTCATATACAAAACAATCAAATATTACAAAGGGGGGAGGGGGACAAAACGGCAAATTAAAGCTAAGAGGACAAACCTAATAGATAAAATAGACAAAACTCCAACGTCCAAATCGACAAAACTTCTCATGATCCAAAGAAGGAGTATATTAACCTTTCAGTAAGTAATCGCACCCCTGGCATGGAAAATCATTCAGTGTATTTTTTTTTGTTACTTCATACGTGAAGATTACGATGTTTAGAGTTGGTTGGAAATGCTATCTAACATGAAGCTTTGTTGTGATAATTTAATAGCTAGAAAAAGGTCTGAAGAGGGTAGGTTGATAGTTCCGCTAGAGTACGACAGTATTAATGAGCTGCATATGCTGCATACTCTAGCGTACTCTAGCGAAACTATCAACATATCCTCTTCAGACCTTTATCTAGCCAATAAATTATCACATTAAAGCTTCATGTTAAATAGTATTTCCAACCAACTATGGAAAATCATTAACATTCATTTGGTGTATTCATTTACATATAACATTTTATCAGAATTCCGTAAATGATGTATGAAGCTTTCATAGGTTTTGATATTTGCTACAACTACAAGTTTTGTCCGTAACTCAAATCTGTATCTCTTATGCATGAAGAACTAGAGCGGGCAGAACTTGTTATTGTTTTCCAGTGAATGTCATTTACATTCACTGAAAATGATGGTGGTTAGAACTGGTTCATCATGCATATGAGATAAAGATTTGAGTTTTTGACAAAAGTTGTAGCAAATATCAAAACCTACACATATTTCATGCATCATTTTACGGAATGCTGTGGATGAATAAAGTTTGAGGTAAATGAATGTAAATTAATGCACGAAATGCATGTACATAAATGGTTTTCACTAGCTTTTGTAACACGAGTACTCGCACGTTGTACAAAATACAACAGTATGTTAGTTTCATTATGAGGGCACTTTTTGAAATCTGATATTCTCCAAAATGTGCTTCTTGGATGGGTATATTGGACATTGTTATTGAATTTCATGAAACATGTTGAGCTTCACTTTGAGCGAGTTCCAAAGTCAGTAGGTTTTTAATTTGTTTCTCGTTGTAGCTAGTACAACCAACCGGTGGAAATTAACCATCGACATACATACAAAGTAGTACCAACCGGTGGAAACTAACGATTTTAAATTGGATCACTACTTGACTAGCCTATTGGTCCCAAGTACATCTATAAGCGTGCCCCATTCTAGTCAAAATTCTAGTACTTCACTATTTTTGTTTTGATTACCTATGAAAGTTTGACAGATAAAATGAGGGTTTCATGGATTTTCCTATGTTTCGAGGCGTGCATCGATTAGCTTGGGATCGAAGATAGTACTGAGCCAAAAAGTTGAGTACGTTTCTTCGGGACCTTCTGGTCTTAGAGTTATCTCTATGGAGTACTAGAATTTTGACTAGAGTGGGGTACGTTAATAGATTTGCTTCGGATCAATAGGCTAGTCATGTAGGCAAGTAGCGACCCAATGGCTTAATTCATCTTTGAATAATTCATTCAGTGATTCTGTTAGATCATCAAACGTAACTTTTCGCATACCCAACTAACAATTTTAGCTGCAGACCAGCTTATAAATACAGCCAAAATTTGCCTTATGCAGCTAATTTTTGTCTGTATAAGCTGAGCTGCAGTTAAAATTGTTTGTTGGGTACCGTAAACCGGGGTATCTTTGATAATGCGGGTAACTTTGATAGTATAATGTAAAGATTAAATTTACTAGCTGCGCTTTTTCTAAATTAGAAACATTAGTTCCATATTGTAGCTTAGGGTATTTCCGTTGAAATCGTGAATAGTTTTTATGCAGTATGTGTTACATATTTTACAAACATATTAAAAAACAATTTTCGTGTTTTTCGCCTTTTTGAAAAAGCACTCAAACCATGACTTATTTAATGTATTTCCGATATAGCCACCACAAATTCAATGTTGTATTCTTATTGCTTATGAAGTTTTCTGATTATATATTCATTCAAAGTTTCATATTTAAAGAACTAAATTGTTTGAGTTTCAGCCATTTTTTCTACACCCCTAATCAAAAAACGGAAGATCGGTCACAAAACTAAAAAAAAATGCAAATGCTTTAAATTCCGTTAAACATATTACTAATGAATTGACTCTTGGATCCTCAGTACTTGTTTTAAAACTATAAAATTTGAAAAAAAAAAATCATTGCTGTGAAAATTATTTAGAATATATGTACTTTAAAAAACTATCAATGTTACCCCGTTTTACGGTACTTTGGTTACGATATCAGTTATTTTATTCATTTCAATGAAGCGGTCAAAGGGAGTAAAATTCGGAGTTGGCAGCACCCTCTCAGAACCTTATGAAACTTTGTGGGTGTGGAGACTTAGCCATTTTAAGCAACTTTGAGTACTTATTTTTTTCAAAATTTATCTCGCCTAACATTTGATAAGGGTCAAAGTTTTTTGTCGATTTTTTTTTCAAATCGATATAGCTTAAAAATGACAAGCCCTACAAAATAGTGATGTATGGCGAACTTTTAGCAAATAATCTGAAATTTTATAAAAAAATTTAAATAAATTAAAAAATTGGTTTCTACACTCTAAAAAAATATATTTAAAAATTAAAAGTCATTTTCCCAAAAATGGTACCCCTCAGATTTGCTTGATATTTTTTCTCATGAAAGGCAATATAATTACCTAACTTTTCTTCATACATCGCAAAGTGGGCGCTTTTAAGGAAAAAAAGTTGTTCGAACAACAACTTTTTCATGTTAATTTTTTTTTAGCGTGTTTCACTCAAAGTCGAATAGTACAACGCACAACCTTATTAAAATCCGTTGAAACTTAATGAGCATAAAGATTTTGACCTTTTGATAATCTGGGCGTGCTTAAAACAAAAATCTAGCCTAACATTTGAAAGGGCCTAATACAGAGGATTTTCCTGCATTTCGAATGGTGTTTTAATAAATGAAAACTCTAGTGTTTTTGTTTAGTGCATAATTTATTTTCCTATAATTCTCCATACATAATTTGAGTTTTTCATTGATTATTAGTCTATCGGAAACAGAGTGAAATTTTTCGGAGTTTCCTTTGAATGTGAAAATCGCTTAGTAGAAATTATGTTTTGAGAAATAGGTACAAAACAATGAAATTTTTGTGTACCAGGTATAGTTTTTACATGACTGAACAGCTCCTTGAGTTCATCGGACATCTTTGTGTATTGATCATTTGATATGAAGCAGAAGTTCAATTTTGTTATGCTTGTATCTGTTTGTTTAACTGCCCAGTCATACAGTTCTTGTGGAGTTGTGATTGTGTTTCCATAATCTCGAGCAAGACTTGCTCTCTTTGCCATTCGTTTGAGAGTTCCTCCAATTGCGTCACATGGGCCTTTCCCATGAGACGTTGCGAAGAAGTGCCATTCTGCTTTCAATCCATACTTGGACTTGAAGTTGCACAAACTGGCAAAATTCTTTTTATTTTTGTAATGAGCCGCTGCTCCATCTGACATGAAAGTAATTTTTGTGAAACTAATAGATTGTTTAATGAAATCTAACAATTTTGATATAAATAATTGAACTGCTATTGTATCATGGGTCAATACTTCTGAAATAATAATAAAGCTTAAATTTTCCAACTTGTTTTCTTTTATGTAGTAAATTTCGAAAGGATGTATCGTAGCTTGATTATTGTTCCAATGATACCCCTGTGCTGAGTTTTGAATAATAAATGAATAATTTTCAGAAAAGTCGCAAATCACTAAAATTTCACC